GCGGTTCTGTGTTCTAAATAAATGACCAGAAAGACAGAGTTGCATGGTAGTCATTATGAAGGACACGCCCAAGTGCTACCCAGAGTCGTGCGGTGTATGGGACCTGGAGTAGGCACTAATTGACAGCATAGGTGCTAGCGCCCTGCTAGCTAGTTTAGCTGCTCAAAGTATAGGTAGTCTCTCTCCTCCACGCCAGGGGTCATTACAATATTAATACCTGCTTAAAGATGAATAACAGACAAGTAATATTTCAGGAACAGTCATCTTTTTTTTTTTTTCTTTTTTTTTTACCTTTTCTTTTCTTCCAGAACTGGGGAAGTGACTTCTCCTGTGTGAACCTTGCTCCATCTGAGACTGTGCCAACGTCAGGTGAGACAAACTCCCCATCATCTCTTCATTATCAGATGGCAGTCGATATGAGACTCAGTGTTCTTTTTTTATCTATAGTTGTCCGTAGGTTGAATCTCTTTTATGTCTTTTGTCTGTAGTTCACAAGCTGAGAGCAGCAGACATCAAGGTGGTGGCAGCGCTGGGAGACTCTGTAACTGTAAGGGTCATAACACATTTTCAATAAGTACAAGGAAGAAGAGTAACTGAACCAAACAGCTGGGCACATATTAGAAAATCATTAACCAAACCTATGCAGTGAGACACAATAAATGCTTAACAGCCAATAAATATGTTTTTACCATAATATTTTACAGTATGCCTGTGCACTGAAGGGTAACTGTGAAACAACCACGAACCAGTTTATATCGGTTAATTTGGTGTCAATGAACTATGAACCCTTTTATCAATCTGTTATCAGCCATATAGCTTGCACCAATGATGATCACCCCTTTTATGTTCAGGTGCTTGGTTGATGATATAAGAATTATCTTTGCCTATATTTCAGTGTCTTCAATGACAAGTTTCATTTTTCCAAAAAGGGCTGAAGTGTGTATTTTCCTGATGTTTGTTCCTTGTTCACAGGCAGGAACTGGCGCTAAAGCAAAGAGCCTGCTTCAACTCAATAAAGCATATGCAGGTGTATCATGGAGGTATGACACCTAATAAGGTTTATATTATCTATTACATTCCACAAACCATACTGATGTTTGTTGGGTTTTCTTGCAGCATCGGAGGAGATGCGACTCTGGCAACTGTCACGACACTACCAAGTGAGTTTATGCTACTAGTTTGGCCAAAATTAATTTGGCTGAGCCATTGTATCCAACTAAAATATTAATCTCAACATAATGCTTTGAATGTGCATTTATATTCTTCAGAAGAGCATTTTTACTGTCAGCACCAGTTACTGGATGCATGAGGACTTCGATTCAGGAGAGGTGCTGGAAATCAGACATTTAAAACATTAATGTGGAGCATTTCTAAACAATGGATGTCACACAAACACCATTCATATATATGTATGATTAGATTAATTCTTAAATAGCTACCCCCCCAAAACAAATAAATACCTATCCAGGAAATGATTTAGTTGTAACCTTCTCAAATACCGTCTCCATTTGTGACCGAAAGCTGCTGTGGGTACCTTCTGTGCCATAGCTCGCTAGCTGCCTGGCCTTGTGGGAGAATTGTGGCTCAATGAATGCAAAGGCAGACTGTGCGCAAGTAGGAAGTTAAGTTGACAGGCGAGGCAGGCCATCCACTGGTTTTGCTTGGACTGAGTGAAATTACTGGTCGGGCTTTTTTCACTGCTGCTGCCACAGATGACAGAATTTATTTCTTTATGTTGTTACTGCATTTGATTTACTCATTGATTTACTCATTGCCATCAAAATTTTAAAAAATGTAACAAAAAATGCTTCTGAAATGAATCACGAACACTACCTTTAATACAACTAAAAGTATTCTCTTCTCAGCTGCTGATTTCTGAAATCAGGACTTGAAGCTAAGCTATGTGACATTCTTGTTTTTACTCTTACGTACAGACGTACATCTGATAGTCATATTTGGGTGTTTCTTCTCCTGATACATTATTGCTCTTCATCTGGTACAGTGGCTACTTGAAGAATCCTGTAGTTATAGTAACTTCATTCATTCTTTTACCCAGCTGTAGAGACTTACAGAGCATTACTCCTCAGCATTTTCTCTTGTATCCCCTCAGACATCTTGAAGAAGTTCAACCCCTCCTTAGTGGGCTTCTCCAAAGATCAGGGCTTAAAACAGAATGGCTTCAACATGGCTGAACCTGAAGCTAAGGCCTCGTATGTGCGCATTTCTTTTAGTTCTTCCACATGAGTTAAACTTTGATCAACACCTTATCTCTAATGGCTCTTGCCTGGATTTGTTCTGTTACAGAGAGATTCCAGTACAAGTACAAGCTCTCATCAAAGCCATGAGAGAAAATAAAGTGAGACTTCTACAGAACTGAATAACTTTTATAATTTTCTGCAAGCCCGAGTCTGATCACCTCTTTCTTTCATGCTCATGTTCTGTACACATGCTACACAGGAGGTGAACTTTGACAAAGACTGGAAACTTGTCACAATATTTGTGGGGGGAAATGATCTTTGCCATTATTGTATAGACCAAGTAAGTGTTCTTTAAATACATGTATTGTACATAAACACTCTTCTGTTATTTGTTATTTATTTTTGTAATTCAATGTTTATCAGACTTTAACAATGTGAAAAAACATGAAGTCAAAAAACAAACACCTGAACTTTTCTGAACTATGTAACTATATAAAACTATATAACTATATGAAAGATACAGTATGTTTTTGTACTGGCTGAGTCCATGTGACCAGTGGGTGGTCAAGATGTTTATTGCTTCACTCAACTTTAAGGGTTTTTAAGGCATATCTGAGTGTAAAATACATGAACAGTGCACATTTATCAATACCAAATCTTGCCAGACAGTCTTCAAAGGTAATTAAGGTGTCCGTCCCGTTGAGGTCACCTAGGACCCTAATTCCTTTCTCTGCCCAGTCATCCTAGATAAAAGGTTTGCTGCCTAAGATTAAATGGAACTAGGGGAGCACCTATTATATGCCTTTTAACTGCCTTGCAGATTTGCAGTGCGTACATCATTATAGGCCCATATTTGCATGAGCTTTTCCTATGAGAAATATGAGGAAATCTAATGTGATCAGGTCCTCCAATTCCTCCTACACTTCTGTTTATTATAGAAATATAATATGTGTGCTTGATATATTTCTGCAGAATAATCTATCCCCCAAGAATTACAGTCACAATCTTATGCTCAGCTTGGACATGCTCTACAAAGAGGTGAGTTATATTAAAAAAAATTATTAAAACCTGATGCAATCTGTCTTTATGAGTATAAGTGAGTTTTATTTTTCTGTTGTTGCCCATCCTCTCTGTCTCTGTTTGTAGATACCAAGGCTCTTGGTTAACGTTGTGGCGATCTTTCAGATAGATGCACTGAAAACAGTTAAGAGGAACACACTGGGTTGTTCACTACTTCAGAGGTTTGTTCTGTGTAAATCTAGCCTTTTACTATGGCTGCTTTATTTTCTTCCCAGATGTTAAGTTCAATATCAGGTATGGCAATTTACTTAAAGGTTTTTCCCACTTTATTGGCAGGCTAACTACCAATTCAGTTGTCCACACTACTATTATTATCTTAAACCAGTTAGTATATTTTTATTTGAGTCCTCTGAGATCAGCTCCTCATTCATCTTAGCAAAAACAGAAAGAACAGGAATCAGTTCTTTCCCTTCCAGGAACAGCTGTCCCTGTGTTATCAACCCAGATGAAAATTCTCCAGAGCTTGAGGAGATAAAACGAATCAATCATGAGTATCAGGTAATAGATTTTCTAAAATTGTTTTTTAATAGGGTTCCCTCTGTAATTTCCCTCAGTTCACCATTTTCCTTTCTATTTTTTCTTAGGTTGAGATTCAGTATCTTATTTCTGGAGATCGCTATGAAGGAAAAGAAGACTTTGCTGTTGTCCTTCAGCCCTTTTTACAACATTTTTTTATCCCTCATATTGGAGTAAGTTTCAGAGACAAATGTATCAAAACAAGCACACACAAATAATCCAATACACCTTTGCTGAAAGTCTGATCTCGTCCCCAGAAGGGTGAGGCTGACCCGAGTTTCTTCTCGGTTGACTGCTTTCACCTCAGTGAGAGAGCTCACGCTGAGATGGCCATTGCTCTCTGGAATAATATGGTGAGTAATGTTTGAGAGTTAGTTATCTGAAGAATCAGAAACTTGTGTGTGATGAATCATCTCAGGTTTAATTTATGCTGCCATGGAGAGAAACATCTCAACAAGGCTCCACCAGAATTTCCAAATGGCCTGTTTTTTTTACTCCGACAGAAAACATGACCTACACAGTACTGGACCACAATGAAGTAGCATGAATACTATGTGTGTATTTTGGTGGTTTTTAGTTTTACACAAATTTCTTTCTCACCAGTTGGAGCCTGTAGGCAGGAAACAAGCATACAACAACTTCACATATGATCGTTCCAAGATTCGCTGTCCCTCTGAGGTATGTGTGGAGATTTCTGGATTCTGGAGAGAAATCACACTGCTCACAACTCGTGTTGTTATTGTATCACTCACTTTGAAAAATCATATTCTACAATGTCATGGTTATATATTTTGTCAACTTTGTATTCATTATACTATTTATTTCATAATGTATTATTTATTACTGAACACCTTGGGCCCTATGACTCATCATTTATATTCTATGTTTTTACCTTTTTAAAAATCTTTCCCAAAGGCCAATCCTTTCATCTTCACTAGAATCAACAGCCAGCCAAGTCCACCAGTGACTAACACCACTGCTGCTCCAGACACGGACACTAACATTACCACCAGCAGCACCGGCACTGCACCATCCATCTCTCTGCCCATGTGTTCCTCCTCCATCCCTGTATGGGTGCCAGTGGCTGTGGGAATCATCAGTTTACTGACTGGCATTGCTGTTGCCTGGCTACTTCGCGCCTACATTCGGTGTTCAAAAAACAAACAGGAGAGAGTGGTAGAAATGAAAGGAACTAGTTTTTAATGCAATTGTTCTATAGTATGATTTAGCCTTGTTGTTGCATCACATACATTTTGAATAGAAAGTACATTCTAGAAGAAATACCCTACAGAAGCAGCAACATCAATGAGCTATCAAATCAAATCAATTTTATTTATATAGCACTTAAAAAACATCCAGTTGACCAAAGTACTTTACATAGGCAAACTAAAATCACAATAAATAACTAAAATAAACTAGGTTCAGTGCTCAGACACACAGATGACATACATTCAATAAATTAAATTAAAAGGAATGCATCAGGCCCTACCGAGTAGTAAAAGACAAGGCAAATGAATATGTTTTAAGCAATGATTTAAAAGTGGTCAGGTCAGTAGCTGACCCATGACAGCCCTCTTTTTGTTTACCAGTTTCTGACAAAATTATCTGGTCTCTTGCTTTGCTAGAAGTTGGATTTTCTTCACCTGCATACTGTATTTTGTTTTACACTGGACAGCGTGAACAGTCATCCTTTCTGATGCTGTGTGTTGGGAGCAGCTGTTCACAGTTTGCAACTCAGCACTTACAAAATAATCCAGGACTGGAACCAACAAATAAAATACTGTAAAATATTTGTCATTTTTTTGCACTGCACCGAACTGTGAATTATTCTTTGTGCAAGTGATTCTCCATGAATTCATAGGTTTTGTACAATTTTTTTAACTCACTGTCATTGTTTATAAAATAAAATTGATACAATAGTTAAGTCTGACCTAAACGTTTTCATTATAATCCTACCACTGAGTAGTTTGCTCTGTGTTTATTTGCATATCTTCTGAATACTGGCTTTGGGACATTCACCTTTCAGTTGTTAAGCACCTAATAATGCCATGTCATCCAGTGCATAACCTATTTAATATTGAACCCAAGCAATAACAAGCCTGGGATAGCGTTTTAAAACATCTCAACATAAAAAAAAGCACCATAAAACTTATTTGTTCAGTGCATGAGCAAATAGGCTACTTTCTACCTATTTTCATATGCTTGTGGCGCATATCTTGGATGTCTAACAGCCTACAAGTCAACACTCAGGGAAAATTGGTCCCTTTGCGGAACCCTGGCTGTGTGAGTATCAGAAACATGGCGGAAAGCGAACTGAACGTTGACAGCCTCATCTCTCGATTATTGGAAGGTAGGTTAGCGTTGTGATATTTAGTCGTTCCATCAGGAAAACGACCGACTTCTGTGGTCTTGGTTACAACCAGTAACTTCACGATTTTAAGAGTAATTTTAGTATCTTGCATCCTTAGCTATTTATGTTGATAATCAGCGACGTGTAAGCTAGCGATAAGAGCTCTCTGCTCCAAGAGTAACGTTAATGTAAACGTTATTATGTCACTCACTGGTGCCTATTTGCTAATGTTCGATTGCTAATTAACGTTAAAGTTAGTCTTAGCAAACAGTAAACAGAGAGAGATTGGTGAAAAATCCCTGGCTGCTCTTCGAAATAGAGAGCTAACTACGTTAAATAATTTAGCGATATTTTATAACAACTAAACTATGTGGGCAAGCTAGGAGAGGTGGGCTAGCGGGTACTCGGTTATTAAGGGTGAAATACGTTGGAACGAGGAATTCTGGGGTTGGTAAGCGTTGCGTGTCTTGCTTCTGTGGTTGCTAAGTAACGTTAAATGTTCTCTTTGTGATGCAACTCGACCGGACACGCCCCCTTAGCGTAGCTCACTAAAGCGTGAATATATTAGCTATTCAAAACGAATTGCTAAAACTGTACAAAACAGTACCTGAATATGATAAAATATTATTTAAACGTATAACCAATTAATTTTTCAATAACTGAGTTATTATTTTTTATTTATTATTTTCAATTACTTACAACTCGTGTGCTGTTTTATTGTTTTTGATGCTACTAGATACATTTTCTCTTACTATTCAGACACATTAGACATGATTCAGGGAATATACACCTATTCTGCTATTTTATTGGGATAATATTCACTTTTGGCACTAAATTTTGTTCTTAAAACAGATACTTGAACCTCAAAACTGATTTTTTGCTGTCACTCCCAAGCAGTGCTGGAAGAAGTACTCAGATTCTTTACTTAAGCAAAAGTAGCATTACCACAATGTAAAAAAATACTTAAAAGTTCTGGATTCAAAATGTTACACAATGTACAAAGATATTAGCAACAGAGTATACAGTAATTGTCCTAATTCATTGTGTCTATTACGTACTGATGCCATTTTAATGATCTGCCTGTTGATCTCTTTGTGCTTTTGCCTTGCAGTGCGAGGATGTCGTCCAGGGAAGATTGTACAGATGACAGAGGCTGAGGTGCGTGGGCTCTGCATCAAGTCCAGAGAGATTTTCCTCAGTCAGCCAATCCTGCTAGAACTGGAGGCTCCACTCAAAATCTGTGGTGAGAACCGGCACCTGTCACCACCATCTTACACTGTGGAAAATGACTGGAAAGCAAATAATTCTGGGTTATATGAAAACTTGTATATAATGAATGTACATGTGCCTCTGGCTCTTTCCTTGTATTCAGGTTGTAAAATACACAATTATTGTACCGTAAAGGCTTTTAGAGCAAAAGTTACAACCTAATAGATGACTGTATATTACTGCAATACATACAGCGTATACACCAGAACAGAAAAAATGTGCTGATAAAAAGTCATTCACATATAATTCCAGGAGATATCCATGGACAGTACACAGACTTGCTGAGGCTGTTTGAGTATGGAGGTTTCCCTCCAGAGGCCAACTACCTGTTCCTAGGGGATTATGTGGACAGAGGGAAGCAGTCACTGGAGACCATCTGCTTGCTGCTCGCTTACAAGATCAAATACCCAGAAAACTTCTTCTTGCTCAGGGGAAACCACGAGTGTGCCTCCATCAATCGCATCTACGGCTTCTATGATGAGTGTAAGTTTGTTGCGCGCTGGATACATGTGCATACTGTTCAGTCCTATGTTGTGCATTTGGTCAAGGAGAGCCTGAGAAAAATGAGAATTACAAATAAACAGAAATTTTGATCCAGTCTTTTTTTAGTTAAGAGCCTCACCTTTCTTTATTTCTTCCTCAGGCAAGCGCAGGTTCAACATAAAGCTCTGGAAGACATTCACAGACTGTTTTAATTGCCTGCCTATCGCTGCAATTATTGATGAGAAGATTTTCTGCTGCCACGGAGGTTTGTGAAGTATCCCACATATGTAGTAATGTACTGCTAGATAATGTGATATATTATCTATTTGATTGAAGTGACCCTCTATATGACTGATGTTTATAATGCAACATCACATTTATACATAATTTCACAGGGGATGTAATATTTTATGTAAACAATATTGAATGGCAAATATTTTATAGAATAGTTAGAAAGTAGTCTTATCATTTTCTTTGTAACAGTCAGTTAAAATACAGTATGTGTGAAGTAACCACAGATGTTAAGTGTGTTGTAATGTCACATCAGTGTGCCATGTTGTGTTATCTTAAGTTCATTACATTGTTATTTTGCTTTAGGATGAATAAAAGTTGTGTAACATTCTGTAACAATATAATCGTGTGCTCCCCTCAGGGCTTTCACCTGACCTTCAGTCCATGGAACAAATTCGACGCATTATGAGACCCACTGATGTCCCAGACACAGGTCTGTTGTTCAGTGCATTTGTGTTACTGAACTAAAATCTTGATGAGCTGATCCATTATTTACATATGGTCTCCAGGAAAGCAGGACATTGTTGTATACATTACAGTAGTACATCTGCATTGCTTGATGATGTGTAAAATCAAAACAAGGACTCCCCGACCTCTGATTTGTCCTAGGCTTGCTGTGTGACCTGCTGTGGTCAGACCCAGACAAAGACGTCCAGGGATGGGGGGAAAATGATCGGGGAGTTTCCTTCACTTTCGGAGCTGACGTGGTTAGCAAGTTCCTCAACCGCCACGACCTGGATCTCATCTGCCGAGCACATCAGGTTAACATTTCTGCAGCCTTCCGACTTATAGATTCAAAATAATACTGTGGAAAATCAAACTTTATTTTATTACGGAAAATAAATTGTAAATTCATTTTACAAATTCACAAGATCTTCAGAATACATTATAAACAAATACAGAAATGGAAACATACGTGATTTCATACAAACGTTTATACCTTTTATTCAAGTCTTGTGAATAGGTGCATTAAATACAGCATTAAAGTGAAGGCAGTTTTCGGATAAATGAATGGCATAAAATAAGTGATGGGAATGTCAGTTTTTTTTTTTTTTTTAGCTAATGCAGAAATTGAAATGCTTGGCAAATGTCTAACAATATAAAGTTACGTAGTGCAGCTCTGGTCTCCTGTAGCTTCTCTGTCACACATCAGCCCTGAAGTGTTGCCATGTGCCATCACAGGCTGCCGCCGTTGTGTGGTCTTTAATTTAACATAATGGTTGCGGGTGTTTTGGTGCGTGTCCTATGGTGCCCTTGACTTTTTCCTCAGAATTCTGACTTTTTTTCTCTGAGTCTGATTTCTGAGAAAAAAAAACAGAACTCAAATTAATTTTGTTTAGTGGCCCTAATGGTCTTCTATACATAGGAATGTAGTTAAACTGCTTACTAAATGTTGATATACTGCTTATAAAAGCTAAATAGTGGAAAGTCAATTAAAGTCTGACCACATTATTTGTTACTATACCACACAGGTTGTTGAAGATGGCTACGAGTTCTTTGCCAAGCGACAGCTGGTGACACTGTTTTCTGCCCCCAACTACTGCGGGGAGTTTGACAATGCAGGCGGCATGATGAGTGTGGACGAGTCCCTCATGTGCTCTTTTCAGGTAGACAGAGTGTAGTGTTTGTTGAACAGGCACATTAATCTTGATTTACATGCTGTTGTATTTATCACAGCCATCATCCTTTCTTTCAGATCCTGAAGCCGTCAGAGAAAAAAGCTAAGTACCAGTATGGAGGGGTGAATTCAGGACGCCCTGTCACCCCGCCTCGCACTGCTCAGGCACCAAAAAAGAGGTGAGTGGCTGGCCCTGACTCTCCAGCTCCTACCCCTGGCTGATCTCTGGCCCACATCCCAGCTGGCTGCCTCAAACACTCCAGCCTTCTCTTAGACAGTTTGTTTATGTGTAAACAGAAACTCCTGGAGTGTTTTTTTTGCTTGTTCTTTGGGTACTTTTATGAACACGTGAGTGGTACTGTTTTTTTTAATGCCACGGTATTGTACGTATTAACTCAGCTCTCACTTCTACTACTCAGTCCATTCAGCAATATTCAAGCCAACCTCTTGTGGAATGTGCAAGATGTTAAGAATAGTTGTTTCTCTACCTTCAGATTAATGATTTTCATTGTGATTTTTTTTTTGGACACATGCACGTTTGTTAGACAGAGGTAGGTTGTTTGCCTGAGATTCTCCCAGGCCACAGGGCCAAATACCCTACTTCCCTCTCCACTTGATTCATCTAATGTGTATGTAACTTACCTAGTTATCACCACTGTCCCTTTGTATAGTGGGTGGAATAGCACACATCTTAATGAGGACATCAGTAACACTGTTACATCTGTGGAGTATTAAGCTACAGCCAGCGGCTGGCTAACTTAACTTAGCTCAGAACCTGGATAACATTACTCTCTGTTTTCCTATCCTTGTGCTAAGCCGCTAGCTACTGGCTGTAGCTTTGTATTTACCATACAGAAATGACAGCCATATCAGTTTTCTCACCTAACTCTTGGCAAGAAAATGACGAGAGTTTTTCCCCAAAATGCCATATGCAATAAAATAAAATGATTATAAAAAAATTACAGACGCTATAAACTAGATTATCACTACATCAGATACATTTTGTTTCCAGCCTCTTTCACAACCAGCACCAAGCTCTGAACCTGTTTTACCTGTCATAAACACTGAAGGAGCATTTGTGGTTGTTATAAAGAGTAGACTTTCCACTGTTGGTATAAAATGAGGAAAAACTGAGCAATGCAATGGTGTAAACTGACTATATATGGAAAATGCAGGAACCAAACTTCTGTGTGCACCTTGAGTTTGTGTACTTTAAATCTGGTACGTACAGCACAGGTATATAAAAGGAATATAAAATAAACATGAAGCACATGGCAGAAACTGAAGAACAGTAAAGGGTAAAAAAAAATAAAATACTAGTTTTCAGTAGATTCACTTTTAAACTGAGAGCTGTTTATTTGTCACACCATTAGATGTTTTAATACTTTTAAATTTTATCTGTACTCTAATTTCCCATCCCACTGAGAGGAGTTGTATTAAATTTTGTTCTACAGTTGTGCAATGACAATAAAGGGATTTTATCTTGTGTCGACCTCTCACACGGAACATTGTTGCACATCACATGACACTGTAATGAGGTCAAATCCTTAAGTCAGGACGATGGCATTTTGTTTGTTGTTGGCATTTAGAGCTGTATTACATTGTTCCCAATTAGTACTTATTAAAATAAGTGCAGTAAATTATTTTCCAATTACTAATCAACATTTAACCTCTGTATTTTAATTTATTTCAGTCTTCTCTTTTGCCTTGTAAATCTATTGGTTTTCAAGTTGAAAACAGTATGTTAATCTGCTTTGAGATTTGTATGGCTTTGTTTCAGTCGAGTCAAATAAATGGAAGTGCTGTTGAGCCTGTCTGTTTGTTGCCGGTTAATAAAGTGATAAAGTAATAAAGTCACATTTAATTACACTCTGCCAGTATGACTGTGCCCATGTTCAATCATGGGCACCGGAAAAAACAAATCTTTACATCTGGTAAAAATTTGATATAAAAGTCTAATATTGTCAGATTAAGTAAAAATTAAGTTTTTCCACACATGCCCAGGAAAAATTATATTATGGACTTTAAGCTTTAAGTGTGATTTCTCTGTACCGGAGGAAGATCAGTGTTTCAACATTTTCTGATTTAGACAGACCTCAATCTGACTTCAGGGCGAGCAGCACTGACTGTGGTACTCTGCTGATGTAGTACTCATGGTTGCGTAGTGTAGCGAGAACCCCTGCAGAATTCATGTGCTTTACATTAGCATCATAGCGGTATGCATTGCCATGCATGTCAGTCAGTTTACCTGCACAAGAAAAAAGTAGTTGATGAAATATTTCACAAAACATTTTAGAAACTGATCCAAAGACCAATAAACTTTGTATCTTGGAAAATGCAAAGCCTAGAATTTAGTATTGGCTCACATGCCAATAAAATATACCACTACTTTATTTTTTAAAAAGTTTGTACATGAGGACATTTTGAATGCTCCCAATATGCTGAGGCATATGATGGTTTTTACCTCCAACAGCATGAAGAATGGCTTCAGGAGCACAGGTGTCCCATTTTTTGCATCCCAGACTAGCAAAGACATAAGCAGACGCTTTCCCCTCAACAAGCTGGATTATCTGCAGAGAGATGATACAATAAACAAGCATGTTTTACAGTTCAACATGCTTCTTGCCTGGTGTGCTTGAAGAGTTATTGCTAAAGTGTGTTTTCCCTTGTCATGAAATTAATGTTCCCAGCCCTGTTTCGCTTACAAGATACATGCACCTACCAAGCAAACATCAGTAATGAAAACTAGTAGTAGCAGTGGTGCTCTGTCAGTCAGTTAGCTCACTAACAGAGTAAAATTTTTGTAGTCAATTCATAAAGAGTACCAAACATTAGTTAGTTTTTCAACATTTGATTATCAAATGTTAAAAATGTTTCAGGAGTTATAACTTTGAGGCACCGTCAGAGCATCAGACCTGTAGTAAACACTCGCTACTGCCAAGTACAGCAGCTGAGTCAGAATCGTGTGTTGTTTCTGATCTTGCTGTGAGATTTCAGTCACTTGAGGTTAGGATCAGGAACCATGACATGACGACACTTCATGTACATACAAACATGACACAAACTTCTGGTTGGTCAACAGAACCAAAATCCAGTTTACATCTTTTGTACACTCAGCATTAAAAGTTTATATCCATCTCACCTTGTTTCCAGCACCACCCACTCTTATAACTTCATGAGGTTCCATGGCGTCTACGCAGTCCATTACCACCTTGTTGCTATGGGAACGGGTGGTAGTGACGATCCGTTTGTCACCTCGAACTTCCTGCAGCTGAAATCCAAACGTGCCCAAACCTAGCATTCCCCATATGGTCCGTCCTAAATCTGCTCCTTCCCCCAGCTGAAGAGGAACAAGTCTGAATTAACCACCGTGACACATGCAGCTGTGGGACATCATTTAGTTTAGTTTGTACCTGGTAGTTGTGGAAAGGCTGGTTGATGACACCTGCAATAGCTCTGCCTCCATATGCAATGCCAATCAGCACTGTCACATTATCCAGGAGCCCTGAAGTTAGAAAAGAGGAGGATTTTAGCTGGAGGCCACTGTTTACTGCACTTTAATTGCTAAGTGAGATCTAAGTATGATCTTTCTATCAGTTTCCTGCTGTTGCCCTCTATTAGACCTCCATACAGAGAGCTGTGCTGTGAGGCTGAGAGGTGTCCAAGCACTTGTGTGGTATCTGGGCCTCAATCTGGTGATGGAGACACCTCGACGCTGGGGTCAGCAGAAAAAGAGGCAGATAGCAGGAGCAGAGACACATGGACAGGAAAGAAAAAGATGAAAGTGACAGTGAGGCTCTGAGAGCCGAGAGCCAGAAAGCACCGGTGCACAAGATCAGTTGGCAAACAAATACCAGCAAAGACAAACCAAACCAAATCAAAACAAAGATTTGTGATAAATATTACAGCACTGGTGCATGTGCCAAAGCTTCAACCACCATTATTAATCCGTCCACAGAATAAATTATATACCATGATCATAGCAGAGATTCTTGATAAAGAAGTGGATAATGCACAATATAATCTCAGCCCACAGAGCAGAAAGTGATGCAAAGCGTAGTTTCACACAGACATTCATGTGGAGGCAGATTTTCTAGGAGAGCCTACCTTCAGTATATTCCTTTGTGCCATCAAGAGGATCAACCCACACAACTAGCTGAGATTCAGAAAGACAGAAAACACATGCACACAATCAAAGTAAACACCACAATATTTTTATGTATTGACACGTGTAATGTGCTGACTTCTGACAATTATGATACAGAAAATATTGTTTAATTCAGCTAAATTTAAGAACTGTTACTGAAGATATACAATGCTTTTCTGAATCGATTGGCTGTTACCTCCTCCTCCTTCAGTGTGCTATATTCTGCTGGACATGTCTTGTGGAGGATTTCCTCTGCCTGGCCAGTCTCAATGAGGTCTTCCCCTACCTCCTCAGCTGGAAGCTCCTACAGGAACAAGAGATGCATATGATCACGAGTCATTGTCCTCACTGTGTTTCTAAAGCATTTGACCAACACATGGTATCAACACCATTGACTGTACGGTCAACACAAACTCTCTAATGAACTCGCTCACCTCCTCTGCAATGATGGTGACTTTGGGGAAGCGTCTGGACAGTGAAGCACAAATGCTCTGCTGTGCAAGTCTGTCTGCCAGTGTCTGGAGATCATTAGCTCCCGTCTGTGCAAGGGTACAAAGAGGAATTAGAAAAGGTTAAAATCTGTGTATTCACTGTTATAACCTGCCAATGTATGAGCAAGCTCCTACTACACATCATGAAAAGTTGGCTTTTGGATGTTGCTTTTTGTCTTTTGTATTCACCACCCACAACCTTTGGTTTCCATCTTTATATTAGGAAAATGAATGCGCAGCAGGCTCTTGTGACACGCCTGAGCACACAGCAAACATTATTGCCAAGCAGGGTAAGTGCAGAGTGACTGTAAAGCCTGTATGGCATCCCCTAGAATGAATGAATGAGTACAGACCTCATGTTCACTGTGATGGATGTTAAAGCAAGTTGCTAAATTGGTTTTGGGATTTTTAGATACAAAATATAAAACAGGCCCCACCTTCTCTACAACACCAAGCTCTCCACTATGAAGGACCCTCCTCACAATGGCCCCGGCTTTCTCAGCCACAGTGTAGGCAGAAGCCAACAGCCGCATAACCACAGCAGGATTTCCAGACATTACTGACAGAGAACAGAAAGTACATCATTGTCAGTGAACACTTTCAAAAACATTACCAACGTCTACATCTACAGCCTCTAAAATGAATGATGAAGCTTAGATGATGACATAATGTTACACTTTTAACGTTATACTTTTCGAAAATGCTAAGTTGTTTACTTCTCTTTGTCTGCATCGTTCATCGTATGATTATTTTATGGAGATGTAACTGAATAGCTAATGGCAACAATTCATCTCAGTGACAGAATTCACCTGAAATTGAATGAAATTAGCAATAATCAGCCACTACAAACGTTGCACTTAACTGTTCTTTCACTGTCAAATGCCACAGATCAAGCATTAAGAGCAGATAAGTTTTCTTATTGAAGCATTTTTATTAACTATTAGCGAACTAGCTCAAGCTTATGCAGTCTTTGCGAGCTAGCATGCCACAGCTAATAGTTAGCCCAGGCAGAAATATTAATATCAAGTGCAAACGTTTCTGCATCTAAATGTTATCAAAGCTTACTGATAATAACACAAGGAACTCGCCACTTACTGTAGAAGTTGAGCCAGCGTGATTTAAGAAGTGGATAACCTTTGAGCCCAACAAGCTGAAATTAACGACCAAGATAGTTACCTTGCTACGCAAGAGACAAATGGCGAGCCCGCATGACATTCGGGAAAATGTGAATAAAGATGTGTTTAAACCGTACAAAAAATGACGCAAACACCGATCTACAGGTAGTGGTGGTTTCGACCGAGGGTACGCCACTCGTTTTGGTTCCTTAAACAGAAACGTGCATATATGCCCTTAGATGATTTAACAGCTTTCAAGCAAATACGGAAGTGTTATGGTGGTGAATCATTTTGCTTTGTCAGGCACGATCCCCATGGGTAAAACGTCACGAAGGGTCAAAGCGTCCGTCGAATTTGGTTGCAGCTAAAGTACGAAAATCAAACAAAATCATTGGACATACAGATTTACTCGACATTTTTCAAACAGATTATTCTCAACACTGTCATTACACTTATTTCAGATTCCATAAAGAGTTTTACACGAACACATCTTGACAGACACCAGACATTACTGCTAGACTTCAAAATGCTTTATTAAATTGTGAAAGCATTACATTTACCAAACAGTAAACATAATTTTCACATAAAAATTATAAGCAGCCTTCCATTTATCTGTGTGTATGTGAATTACAATGAACGGTTGTCTTCTCATTCACATTCGTAAACACCAGTCCCACATTTTCCATCAATCCCACATTGATCAGTAAATGAAAATGGAAAGTAGAGGTGAATGTTAAAAGACACTGTGAAAGGTGTAGCCTTACATGAGTTAAGTGTCCCACAAGCTGCTTCAGAAGGGAAGTAGAAACACAGACAAAGCTGTAAATAGACAATCTCAATTTTATGTTATACAAACGTACAGTAGTAAACTGAGTGTACCATTTTTATATTGTTGTAAATTATTAAATTCAAATCTTGAAAAGTATAAAGAAAAAAAACCATTATTCTGTTATAAATATGCAAATCATAAGCATGTCATCTGTTAGTCAGAGGTCTGTAACCCATCTCTCCCTCCAGCTGCTCTGCAGTGAGAGAGCCCAGCAGAGGTTGACAATCTGGATTGAACACAGAATAAGCACTCATTTCACCAGGCTCCCGGGCTGCTGGGCTACGAAGTCCTTCATACATCCAGTAAAAGAGGGAGATGACGAAGAAAGGCAGGCCGAACTCCAGTTCAACAAAAAGACCAAACAGTACCAACCACAGCAGCACTTTGAGCAACATGAGGTTTGAGATGACAAACTGCCTTGAAGTCAGCCACCTCCCCAGAGCGCTGTCCAGCAGCCAGTTGCTAAGGTCCTGCAGAGAACAACAGGAGGTTCACCGGTTTAATATGTTTCAGTTACTTTTATACCGCTTACAATGGCTCTGAGCACAACATAGACCTCTGGGTGCCCATTTAGGCGTTTTTAGTTAAGGAGCACAGGAGATGTTTCTAGCTGGAGTACTGTAGTTTGATACATTTAAACTTGAACCAGTTATAGACAGACTAATATTTAAGAGTTCTCCTGAAGCACTGCATCAGACACTGACAGGTCTATATGCAGCCTATAAATAAATTCAGAACTTTTGTATTCCTTTTAATGCATTTCATAAGAAAACTGAGTTCAGTGCTTTTAGGACTTCGTTTATTTCTACATTAAATGCTTTGCTGAGAACAATTACTGAGCTGATTATATGTCTGTAACATATGATTGATAATCAGTCATTTAGCAAGCAAAAACAGCTCTGACTGTAGCCCCGCATAAATTAAAAGCAGTCTTAAATTTGTGAGAGCCAAAGGCAGTCAACACTAGTAAGTACAAAAAAGTTAAAGTTAAAAAAAAACAGCAGCTACTCATGAGCAAAGTGACATCTCACCTTGCTTTGGGAGCTCCGCGTTGAAGCTCGGCGGTTTTCGGGCTCCTCTAGCCTTTGACGATCAGGTATTGGTGTTGTATCAGATTGAGCAGCTGTGTCTGTAGGCACTCCGGGCTGTGTTCCAGCACTCTGATCCATTTTAACAGCATTTTCTGCCTGTCGCCGAGCTCTGAACTCTGCAAGCTTCTGCTCCATCTTAAATAGTCAAACTAGCTAAACGTTATCAGGTCTACGTAGCAAGAGTTGCTAGAACAACTCATTCAAAACTTGCTATCTGCTTTGCTTGAGTACAGCTTTATACACGTCCAATATAATAATGTTGCATCTTCATCACTTTAACTCCATTTTTTGTGAACATTTCAAAATGCTACTAGCTTAGCCAGACATTTGTTTACCTTTTAAGCTAGGCCAGCGTCTATCTGAAAGAAGAGCGGCAAGTCGTAAAATGTCAACAGCTGTCGTAAAATGTCAACAGCTGTCGTAAAATGTGTCGTTTTCTAGCAAAATTACACAGGTCTGTTTCAAGCTAACGAGAGGTTATATTATTCATTGGTGAGTAACCAAACGGCTACGCTTTCGTTTAGGATGGTTAATCGTTTTTATAGGTGTATTTGTTTTTGCCATGGGCAAATGTTTATAAGCGATCGACACAGTGGCGTAAACGTTTGATGAACAAACGTTACTGATGTCCAGCCAACTAATCATCACAACCACAGTCTTTTTTATGTTGCCTTGTTATTGTGGAAGACTGGTTAGTTAACAAAAGGTTAACTAACTGAAGTGGTAGTAGAAATATTCGGATGCCTTAATGAAGTAGAAATGCCAGGCTGAAAATAAATAAAAAGTTATGCATTAAAAATATCCTTAAAAGCGCAAAGGTATTATCAGGAAATGCACAGTTGTGCAAAAGTTCCTTCCTGACTGCCAGTGACAGTCATCCAGGAATTCACAGATCCATAGTTACATTCGTAACTTCCATTAATTTGAGTATTATGGGCTATTGTTAACGATATCTGCCTACTATATTCTCAGCTAATACCATTAAAATAACCAATGTAATAAAATAAAATCACACAAATGGCCAAAACCAAAGATGACATATTCAAATGTTCGTTTTGTCTGATCAACAGTTTACTAATTCAAAACAATACGTTTACAGGGAAATAAAACAAAAGAAAAGCAAGTGAAAAGAAGGAATTTTTGGCAGGTTTTCTTGAAAAATGACAGATTATAAATAGCTGGAGATCAGTTTTCTGTAGATCTTGTTAATTTTATTTAATTCAACAACTAATTTAATCCATACAACCAGTATTAATCCTGTTATCTCAGCCATCTACAGTAGTTTCTTTTCTGTTCCTTTTACTCACTGTATGAGTCTGAGTGCAGCTTGTTCTCCCTCTTCCCTGCAGACATGGCCTCAGCTCCACAGCAGCCCACCCTGACTATTGAACAGACCAGAGGTGACAAGAGCTGATTTTGATCTAGGAGTCTTTTTCTAGTCCTTTTGCTCTGGCTGAGTTGTTTCCAAGTAAAACACTTGGCAACATTTCATTCTTAAGTTTGGGCTTGTTGCAGCATATTTTTTGGAGTTAATTTTTTTATGTACTTAGACTAAGATCATTTACTAGTAATGATTTACTACAGTATATAATTAAAATTACCTTTATATTTATGTTTTTTTTTTGTTCATAGTGGTACTAAGTGAGGTCATCCAGGCCTTCTCGGTACCAGAAAACGCTGCTCGGATGGAGGATGCTCGAGAGAGCGCCTCCAACGACATGGGCAAGATGCTACAGCTTGTGCTACCTGTGGCCACCCAGATTCAACAAGAAGTCATCAAGGCCTATGGATTCAATAATGAGGGAGAAGGTGAGACTGCTTTGTGGATCTAAGAGAAATCCTGTGATGCACATTCTTCTGCATGATGCCAGTGTGATTTCTGTGGTCATTAACCCTTCCTTGAGAACCCTACCGATGTACTCTGTCATCCACTAAACTAATCCAAGCAGTAGAGCAATAGCAACTAATAGTATACTTTATAAAATCAAAGCTTTTGCAGGACAGTATTTTTTGTTCCCTGAGCCTACATATTTTGCAGGTCAGGGTACAACTGTCCTGTGGGTTTGAGCCAAAAGTAATTCTTATAGAGCTGAAATGATTGACTGAAAGATTCTTATTATTCTTATTCTTATTATTCTTTTCTTTCAAGCATGTAAAAACAGTTGATATGTCAACACACATAATTTTACACATATCCAACAAATGCTAATCCAATATCAATGTGCTTATATCTAGTACATGCTTGAATGGAGTAGGAAGAAGTCAGACTTATCCAGTCCTACCCCATGACATCATCTTACCATCATTGGTTTGCAAGCAGTA